AGTCGACTACATGGGAGTCCAGCGACATAGCCATTACACCAGCTGCTGGTCCCAGCAGCGTTGTTTTTTAACATGGCAAACGGTAAAGCATTGTGTTGGTGAGTGAGTGACCGTAGGGACCGCCATGAAGTCAGCCAGGCGTAAACACAGAGAGCGTGAAACACGCATCGAACAAGAGCCCCATCGTTCCTGCCATGACCCCAGCGATGCGCGGGACGGAGCAGACAGGTGATGACAACTGCCCCGACATGGGCTGAGAACGGCGTCGGTCCCTCAGCGCCGCCATGGAGGTGCATTCCGAGTGGTCGTCAAGGTAGGAAGACAAGGTAGGTGCTCCCGTGAGCGGCCACTCTGACAGGTGGACGCAGACCTGAGTGACCAAACAGCTGTGAGCACTGTCCCCTCTCAGCTCCTTGCCCGCCCTCTGTGCCCTGCTCTGCTCCGCCATGCTGGGACCAGGACCTTCCAAACCTCCGTCTTCCACTTGGCCCATCCCTGACCCCCCTTGAGTGAGCAAACAGACATGGCTGCAGGGCTGGCAGAGGGGGGCACAGCCTGCCACTCCTCACCTGCAGGGGCCGGGGTCCCGTCTTCCGTTCTCGCCCCCCCGGAAGCCAGCCTGTGCAGCCCCCAAGGGCTCCAGCACTCCCGGCAGACCCCCTTCAGGGGCTAAGCCCACCAGCAGCAGCGGCTTCAGGCCCCTGAGCACAGCAGCCCAGCATCTGTGCAGGTCTGCATCCCGTCTCCAAGGCCTGCGCTCAACCTTCAGGTCTGCTAATCAGCGTCTCCCTGCCTGCTCCAGCCTCTGCACAGAAAGGGGTCCCTATGTAACCTCAGAGTCCCTTTGCCTGTGGTCCTCCAGCCCCTTGGGCGGAACAGCCAGATCCTCTGATTAGACTCCATCCGCTGAAACAACCAGACACCGGTACGTAAAGGAAAAGACAAACCACACACCAGCAGACGATATTGCAAACGACACATCTGGCAGAGAACTTGTGCCCAGAATAGAGAAAGAACTCCTGGGAATCAATAAGAAGAAAACAAGTCAGTTTTTCACAGTGGGCAAAATGCTCGCGCAGACACTGCACTGACTAGGAGATGCGGACGAGAAATAAGCACGTATTTAACGTCAGGGTTAGGGAAGTGCAAGTGAAAGCGCAATGAGTTAGTTGTTCTTTTAATTTTATCAATAGTGAAAAATGTTATCAATAATAAAAATGTGTTCATTTCTTAAATCTATAAGTTATCGGTGATGTCAGTCATAATCCTGTGAGACAGATCCAAGTGCCATGACCCTGAATGTTCGAACACCAAAGATCAAATCTCTGAAGTCTAAAATCACAAATGTCTAAAATCTCAAAGGCCACAATTCTAAAGGTTAAAATCCCAAACATGGAAATTCCGAAAGCCAAAGTCCCGAAAATCCAATTCCTGTTTTCCAGCAAAGGCTCTAGAATAGGTGTGCCAAGCCGCCCTCCGTGTCTGCCGTGCCTGGCCTGCACACGAGCAGGGGTGACGTCCACGCACCCAGAACAAGGAGTGGGCCCAGAAGTCGGGGGGTGTACAGGGCATGCTCCTGCTGGCGCCCAGTGAATCGCAGGAGCAGCTCAGAAAGAGCAGCCCTGAGGAAGCACGTGGCAAGGTCTCCGAGCAGAGCAGGCCCCGGAGGGCGAAGCAGCCCTGGTGCTGTGGGACCTCGGCTTCGGAGCGGGTAGTGAGCCCACCACTCTTCAGGCCACCTCTGCGCAGAGGTGCCATCGGGCCCAGTAATGCCCCTTTTCCCACGTCAGGCTTCCTTTTCAGGTTTTTGTTTTTCCCGCTGTGTGGTAGAGAAAGGAAAAGGTGGGAAAGGGGGGGGTGAGGGAGGGATAGACGCTTTGACGTGTCTCGCGGCGTCTCCTGATTAGCTAGGATCACAGGCGGGCACACCCACACCCCACAGGCTCAGGTGGGCCTGGGACCGAACCCCAGGGTCACACGTAGCCTCCAGCTTCCCAAGCAGTGCTGCTGTGTACCTGGGTCTGTAAATGAATGTCTTCTCCTTTTCTCAGAATAATATTCTTGGGATTTTGATCTTTCAGAATTCCAACACTAGGGATTTCAGTATTTAGAACTGTGTTTTTTGGAACCATGGTCCAAACCCGTGTGAGGGGCAGTATGAAAATTACCTGCTGAGCGCAAAGGCTCCTTGCTCCCAGGCACACAAGGAGTTGGAATACCTGTAAAAGGGACAGGTATTAGATAACCAGACTCGGGGTTCTCCAGGCCCCAGGTGAGTCACAGAGTGGGGCCCTCCGGTCTATGTGTAGCCAAGGGTCCATAGAACCCACCCGGCGGCACTTCCGGGAGTGTGCAAGCGGGGCCTGGCCTCCCCAGGCAGGTGGAACGACAGAAGCCTCGCATGCTAAGGGCACCCCAAACAGCCCAGGGCCACAGAGAGGCCTAGGGTCCCCTGGCAGCCTGGCCAGGGCCTGCAGCAGGGATGGAGTTTCCCCACAGCCTGGCCCACGGAGCGCCTCTCCCGCCCCCTCCTCTCCCAGAATGTACCTGGCCTTGGTCCAAGCCCTGAGAGCTGAACCAAGAGCTCGCCTGGGTCCCGAGGAGGTGTCGTCTGTGTCGTCTGCCAAGACAGGACGGGGTCTGGGGAGAAATCAGGACAGTCCCGGAAGGACCGGTCTCATCTGCCCCGAAGCCTGCGGCCGTGTGTTAACGCACTCCTCCACGGCGCTCACCAAGCTGCCCGCGGGCAGGTGCCCCACCTCCCATGCCCCCCAAAGCCCAAGCAAAGTGGAATGCTCCAGTACTCACCCCCAAACCCCACTCCTTCAACTTAAAAGGAACTTTAATTTTCTCAAGATGGACGTTTAACCTTAAATGAGTTACAAGTGCCTTAATGGGTAACAATCTCTTGTATCCATTAGCAATGTTGAAATCTGCAGATGTCTGACTTCTTAATAAAATGCCTGCATTTTCTTAAAGTAGAATTTTTTTTTTCCCTTAAAAATCGTTACTCCTTGATCAGTCTTGACTGCAGTCGAATCCCTGTCAACCAGACAGCAGAATCGCCAGGCCTGTAGCAGGAGCCTCTGTGTGGGGGCGGAGAGGAGCCCCCCACACTCCCAACCCGCCAGAAGGGGCTTTGGTGGCCCGGGCGGAGGTGTCACCCAGTGTCATGGCAACCTAAACCCCGTCCCTGGGCATTTGTCTGCTCGCTCTACCTGGAAAGACTGTCACCAAATACAGACTCTGTGGCTATAGGAAGGTCTTCTAAGGGCCAGCAGCGAGGACATGTTACACGAGTTGTTTAAGATGCTCGTTCTGGGCCGGCGGGTGGCACAGTGGTTAAAGCAACCGGACCCCGCACGGCTGACCGGGCCGCTCGAGTCCCAGACCTGACAGCCCGAGAAACACCCGGGTGGTGGTACCCAAAGCCCCTAGAGGAACGCGGAGGAGGAGGGATTAGTGCGTCACCCCACAGGGCGCCTTCTCGCCTTCCCACTCTGTCTCTCTCCAGGGAGCACACATGCATGCTAACAAATTAACGACAACTGCTTGTCCCACTGTGCCCCTGAATAGATGTCAGAAAAACCAGGTTTGGAAGGCCTCACTGGCTTTGTAATTAGAACACTTAAAAAGCCTTCTGGGAGCCAGCGGGTAGCATAGTGGTTAAGATGCTGGACTTCCACATGGCGGACCGCAGTTCAAGTCGCAGACCCAGTGGCTAGTAAAATGCACCAGAGGTGTGCGTGTGTGTGTGCACGCACATGCCCAAAATCCCAGGAGGAGGATGGAGAGGAAGAGATTGCAGCGTGGCCATCCCTCCTGGGCATGATTTCTGGCTCTCTCTGTCTCTCTGGTGATACACGCACCCTATAGCAAAAGTCTCTTTCAAAAAAAAAAACTTCTGGCAGGGCCAGTAGGTGGCATGGTTGTTAAGGTGCTGGACTCCCACATGGTTCAGCTAGGATTCAAGTCCCAGGCCTGGTAGCTTGTTTTGTTTTCTCACTTTCTCTCTCTCTCTCTCTCTCTGTCTCTCTGGTGAGTGCATGCATCCTATAGCAAAATTTAAAATAATGATAATAATAAATAAAATTAAATAATTCTAAAAAAAGAAAAAGAAAGCTTCTAGACTAGCTCCTGTCGCCATCTCCAGAGTGGGTGGACAGGAAAATGAGAATGCTCTTGTGCCCCACTCAGACCAGGTGCCCAGGAGGCCTGGTAACCCCCCACACCTGCTGGGAGGCCGCCCTGGGGCCTTCACCCTGGAAGTAATTCTCCTCTCCAACTTCTGCCAGGGACGGAGCTTCCAAACTGGCCTACACTTTGAAATCACCTGGGAGGGACCCCAGGTGCTGATGCCTGTGTCCCCAGGGACTGTGAGCTCCAGAGTCGTGGGGTGGCTCCAGCTCCGGCCCAGGGTGGCAGAAGGAGCTCCGGCTAGGCTGGGGACCTGCTGCCGTTTCCCTTGCCCGTGGCTCCCAG